AATATCTGGAGCATCGCAGAAATATACATCACCATTCTGAACAACAACTCCAGTAAAAGTTCCAACAGCAGTATATTTTTCACCATCATTATAGGTAGTAGGAGACAGGAAGTCAGTTGTACCTAGTTTCCATAATTTCATTTCATCATTTGTTACAACAGGATTCCCAATGATTCCACAGATGAAATATGTTTCTTCACCAGGGTTGACTTTGTGATAGGAGAAGCTCTTCAATTTAGGACTACCATCTTAAAATGATAGAAAACAACTCAAACAAGTCAGTTTTCTATTGCAACAAATTCAAAATAGCTGATGCAGTAAGAGTCCAGGAGTGAATCTGAGTACAGTCGCCAATATTCAAATGTATTTACCGTGGCCAGTTGTTAAATGACAAGGACATAATCTTCACAGCAACTAGGGAGCCATCATTTTTTTTGAAGAACTTGACGGGATGAGGTAAAATGTACAAAATTCTAAAACTGAAGACAAATGCGTAGAATGATATTAGAGTGGAGTGAACGATGAAATTTGACGTAGCGTGAGTTTTAATGTTTACTGATTTCTATACTGTGTCAGGTCTGCCAGAGTAACATGAAGCTATCGAAAAACAAGTAATTGCACTACACAGTCACAGTGAGTTCTCAGTTTCAGAGACATAAGACATAAGAGACATACATAAGCTTGAATATGAACAACCTGAGCATGTCAGAGATATTGATTGGGCTGGTAGTTTTCAAGAAAAGTCAATAATATTATTGTTTACCAATAATGACAAAACTATTCGCTAAAAATACAGAATTAATGATACATCATGAAAGGAACAAATCTGATAGAAGTCTACCCAAAGTATCTACATATCATGTATAAAAGCAATCCGCCAGGTAATTGTCATGTAGATTTGAGAAATAAAATTTGTGACCAAAAATAACATCAATATTCATTAAAAACAGAGAATTAATGATATCATCACGAAATGAAAAAAAATAAAAGTCTACCCAAAGTATCAACCGGTACATATCATGTATCAATGCATTTGGGCCATCGGCCATCTTAGACCAAATAAATAATGCACTGCATGTGCGAATGTCCCAAATAAAGGAGTAGACACATGCAAAGAATGAATGGATTAGGTTAAGAGGGTTCTGAAATGTGACAGACGAATAAAGACCGAATTACAAGTCCCTGTTTCAAACTTTGTTCAGAATAATAATGTCCAATGTGTGTGATTACTATATGGCCCTTACGATGTAGAATCAAGTCATGTTCTAAGACTATATCCAGCATAACATATACAGCCCAAGGTTATATATTATAGACTATATTACTTGTGGGTCGGTTATAGCTACACAATAAGAATTGGTAGAATACATCGTGGTGCACATATGTGTTTTATCACATGCTGCATTGTTTTTACTATTTAATAATTTACAACAGGAATTAGTGATTTGACAATCAGTATCTGTAGTATCTAGATATAACCATCCCAGTGCACAATCTTCATTTGAACAAACATCAGTGTTCTTATCACATCCTATTTTGTTTTTACAATGACAATGACAATTATAGTTACACAATTCACCATAGAGATTTGAATTACAAACCTTGTTGACGATCATAATCTATAGTATCTAGATGTATCCATCCTGGTGCACAATCTCCATTTAGACAAACACCAGTGTTCTTATCACATGCTTCATTGTTTTTACAATGACAATTATAATTACATATTTCACCATGGAAA